GGAGGAGGCTGGGCCCGCCAGTGGAGAAGGCTGACAGCAGGTTCTGGGCTGACAGGTAAGGGGTGTGCAGGGGTGTGATCAGCCCACCTGAGACCCTGCAGAGCTCACCATACAGAGTCTATGGTGGGCTCTGCAGGGTCACCCTCAGGTGGGCTCTGCAAGGGGCGTTACTAGAAATCACAGGGCCCCATACAAAATGTCAGTAACATGGACAGGAGGAAGAGTGAATGGACTACAAGTGCGGTGACCACAATTGTTTGGGGACATAATGTTGCTGAACCTAGACCTGACCAACTGAAGTAACCCCAGATCATAACACCGCCCGAAATTTCCTTGGAGTAAATGAAGCAACTTGGAAATGTTATTACTTTCACGTCACACAAAATCACAGCTCAGCGTATTCTTTGTGGCATAAAGGGAAATATTGCATCAGACGATTTCTACCAGTTCCCTATTGCTTTTCCAAAATCTTTTTCCGGCAGCGTCACTCCTTCGTAAACCTCAAATTCCCAATTAGTCTGACTCGAGTATGGCCAGAAACGTGAGGCTTTATCCCCTTAAGGACAAGGGCCTTTTTTTTTTTTCATTTTTTGTTTACATCAATGGAGAGACTACAAGTCTCATTGGCCACGGCGACAGACAGACTTGTAGATCTCAATGGAGCATAGGTGTGGTGACATTGATTACTTCCTCCAGCCCCATATGTGAGGGTCCATACCTCACTACAGACCTGGGGGAGGATTAGTCTCTCTCCCAGACTCCTAATTCTGTGCCTCTGTTGTCACCCTGTTACAATGCAGGCTACAACACACGTTATGCATGTATTGTCCACTGATGTCACCATCGGGAAACCATTTGTGTCAATCACTGACATTATGCCCCTGTGCCAGCCACTGACAGCATGAATTCTATCCCAAACACTGACAGTATCTTCTCAATGCCAACCACTGCCAGCGTGATGTCTATGCCAGCCACTGACACCATGCTGTTTATGCCAACCAATGACAGTATCTTCTCTATGCCAACTACTGACAGTATATTCTCAATGCAAACTACTGACAGTATATTCTCAATGCCAACCACTGCCAGTGTGATGTCTTCGCCAGCCAATGATAGTATCTTCTCTATGCCAACTACTGACAGTATATTCTCAATGCAAACTACTGACAGTATATTCTCAATGCCAACCACTGCCAGTGTGATGTCTTCGCCAGCCAATGATAGTATCTTCTCTATGCCAACTACTGACACTATGCTGCCTATGCCAACCAATGACAGTATATTCTCTGTGCCAACCACTGCCAGTGTGATCTCTATGCCAACCTCTGCCAGTGTGATCTCTATGCCAGCCACTGATAGTATATTCTCTATGCCAACCAATGACAGTATCTTCTCTATGCCAGCCCCTGATATCATGCACCCAGTTTCAGTGTCCCTAAATGGCAAACCATGGTGTTACCCGGTGGGGATCTGCCCGGAAATTCCTTCTTCCCCGGCTTGTTCGCCATGCTGGACTCCAGCGCACCGTCTCTATGGCAACGGTACACAAGTTATGGCCACGCCCCCTTCCAGAGTCGCGCAGAAGAACCTTGTAGCCAAACGCGGCTGATCTCGCATACGATCCGCAGACATACAGGCTGGCAGCGCTTGAAATCTCGCGAGAGCACAGCGTGCAGTCCATAGCTGGCACTGAGTGCTGCTGTGATCAAGAGCAGCCTAGCAGCTAGTGGCTGTCTAGATGGGGAGGGGGGACTATAGATCCCAGCAAGCACTGCCAGGGAAAGTAACCTGTATATCTGCAATAAATAGACTGAATGTGTAAAAGAGAAGCTGTCATGAGGGGAGTACAGTCATTGAAAACCTCCTGAAAATACTAGTCTGCTGGCTGAACCACAGGCTTCAATACTCTGAGTGCGGAGATCAGAAAAGTCAGACTTGTCAGGGCTCAAGAGGCTCAGCATGACAGACAGGTGACCTCCATTTTCAGAACATGAACTCAACAATGGCTTCCTCCTTGTAAAAGCTCCCTTGAAGGGATGGGGGACGGGGAACAAGGAAGGACAGGAATTCATGGCTTGGAAAGATAACAGCTGACCCCCATTTTCATGCATAAGCTCACATTGTAACCCCTCCTTTGTGACCATAGTCATGGAGGTCTTGGGGTCCATTCACACCATTACATTGTGGTAAAAGAGAAACCCACAAAACAGTGCGGCGATATTCATTCATTATAAATGGCGGCCAAACACACCTAGGTGAGCCAATACAACACGCTGAATATTTATTAGCGCACTCCAAAGCACAGCTGTCAGCCATCGTTGTTTGTTGTCAGCTATCTTTGTGTTTCGGTGTCAGACATCGCTGTGTTTCGGTGTAAGCCATCGTTGTGGTTTGTAGTCAGCCATCTTTGTGTTTCGTTGTCACCCATCTTTGTGTTTCGCTGTCAGCCATCGCTGTGTTTCGCTGGCAGCCATCTTTGTGTTTCGTTGTCACCCATCTTTGTGTTTTGGTGTCAGCCATCTTTGTGTTTTGGTGTCAGCCATCTTTGTGTTTCCTTGTCAACCAGCGCTGTGTTTCGCTGTCAGCCATTGCTGTGTTTCGGTGTCAGCCATCGCTGTGTTTCGGTGTCAGCCATCGCTGTGTTTCAGTGTCAGCCATCGCTGTGTTTCGGTGTCAGCCATCGCTGTGTTTCGGTGTCAGCCATCTTTGTGTTTTGTTGCCATCCATCTTTGTGTTTCGTTGTCACCTATCTTTGTGTTTCGTTGTCACCCATCTTTGTGTTTCGCTGTCACCCATCTTTGTTTTTTGTTGTCAGCCATCTTTGTTTTGGTGTCAGCCACCTTTGTGTTTCGTTGTCACCCATCTCTGTGTTTCGTTGTCACCCATCTTTGTGTTTCGCTGTCATCCATCTTTGTGTTTTGTTGTCAGCCATCTTTGTTTTGGTGTCAGCCATATTTGTATTTCATTGTCACCCATCTTTGTGGTTTGGTGTCAGCCATCTTTGTGTATCTAGCAGAGTAAACCTTTCCGGGATTCCCGGTGGTTCTTCTCCCCCGGCCAGTCTACGTGGCCGCTGTCAGAATACAAAGGAAAAAAACAGCAGATAGCAGGGGAAGCATTACCCTGATAGCAATAAATTGTGCTGCAAGTTTGAAAATGACTTGCTAAACTATTGCAGACTTGCCAAAGCTTCACAATGTTGTTGCACAATTACATCAAGTCTGCATTGCAAGTCTCCAGACCAGCGAGCTTGCAGAGCTCTTGCTAAGACCTGCAGGACTCTTGCTGTAGACTTGCCAAGCAAATTTGCTACAAATTCAAAAAGTGTCAACTAGAAGTTGTGTTGCGAGTGTTCTGCAAGTCTACAACTTGCCAGGAATGTGTGCAGCAAGTTAACAAAATTACAATTTCACCCCACCACAAGTTTGTAGCAAGTTATCCTTGCTATCTGCGTAGCTCCCCTGCTCTCTACTGATTCCCCTGATGTTTTTTGTGACAGTGGCCGCCGGCCTCCATCAGAGTAAAAAAATAAAATAAAATCAACAGATAGCAGGGGTATGAAAACTAGGCTGCTATTAGTCATTCCAATAGCCAATAGCAGGCTGGCTATTGCACCTGTTCACTGCTGCTGTCAATTGGTACCAATACCGAGTATTTGGGCGAGCACTCATACTCGCCCAAATGCTCCTGATGCCTATCCCAATACCTTAACTTCCGGTATCAGGAAGCCAGGCAGCGAGTCATTACGCGCTGCCCAGCTTCCTGATTGCCCGGGAAGCCGGTTCCATGCTCCCTCGTAACCAGGGAGCATGGTACCGGCCAACCAGGAAGCCATGCGCCATGTAATGACTCGCCGCCCAACTTCTTGATTGGTTGGGAAGCTGGCCAATCAAGAAGTCGGGCGATGAGTCATTACTTTCCAACTGGCTTCCTTAAAGGAGAACTATGAGGTGAGTGCTTTTCACTCACCTCATAGTTCTAGCCGACCTGTGACAATAAGACTGTCACAGGTCGGCTCAGTAGATTGGGAGGTGAGCGAACACATACCGGCGTTCGCTCACCTCTCGATCCTGTCACGGCTCTCTGCCATGACAGGGGAGGGGCTGGATTCCCCGCTCCGATCCGCCAGCGCTGACTGGCGGAACGGACGGGGGAGGGGGCGGGTACAGCTGGCTCTGCCTCTAGATAGGCAGAGCCAGCTGTCACTCATGCAGCTGGGCGGGCCTCGACATCGATGTCGGGATCCGCTGCGGTGTCTCAGTATACCGCGAGCTGTGGCTCGCGGTATACTGAGCCTAGGGTGACGGGAGGACGCTAGTTTGTGTCCTCCCGTTACCCTAAGGAGAACTATGGGGAAAAGCCCTGACCCCATAATTCTCCTTTAATGGGACTGCGGGTATTGATATCGAATAGTACCGAAAAAGAAATCTATCGGTACTCGATACCGAAAAAACAGTATCTGTGCATCCCTAACATATATATATATATATATACACATACAGTACACGCAGTATATAGAGAATGATTTTTATTACAATAATACAATTTATAATAACAAAACAAAAACTTTGAAAATACAGGGACAGCAGTGACTTCAGACCAGCGGCATCTATGGTGGCTGCTGAGGGCTCTCTTTCATTTGCCAATTCCAGGAATCTTCCAGTTGGGATAAAAGTGGCAGCAAAAGACCATCTAGGACAGCCAGACCCTTCCAGGAGCTGCGCAGACCACTGTAAGTTCAATCGGACTTCAGTTACAGCACAATATTGATACATAGTAATGTTAAAGCAACACATACACAGGAATCCTGCTCTGCCTATGCCTGTGAATCGTGGAAGGAAAGGAAAGGCTGGTGCACAGCAAAGGCTCCGTCCACCTCGCTCCAATCATACATAGCAGATTCCGGCACTCAGCTTCTTGCTTTAATCCTTTATTAAGTATCACATGAACGGTTCACATAGTAAGAACTTGCTAACATGTTTCAGCCACACATGGCCTTAGCATGGCTATGACTAAGGCCTCATGTGGCTGAGACGCATCAGCCAGTTTTTACTGTGTGAACCGTCCATGTGATACTCAATACCAGATTGAAGCAAGAATCTGAGTGCTGGAATCTGTTATGTAACCTCTAATCTGTCCATATTGAGCAAAGGTATAGTCAGGGCCGGATTTACTCTCTGCTGCCACAATGCCAGGTTCCTCAATACGCCCCGCTGTATGCAGGCTGCATACAAGTGTTCTCGGCAACATCGCCAAGATCACTTGTACAAAACAAGCAGCGGCATTTAGCTCTGCTTACCCAAAGCAGTGCTAAATGTAGAAAACAAGTACCCACCCGGCGCCCAGAACTGCATGTCCCAGCCATCGGGAGATAGGAATTCCACACCCTTGCTGCCCCTCTACTCCCTGCTGCCCCAAGGCCGGGCCTCGCTTGGCCTTGTGGGAAATCCAGCCCTGGGTATAGTTTTACTTTGCAGGAGGCACTGTAAGCCATTGGTTATTGCTTCCCTCTTACCCCAATCCGCTTCGGCAGAAAGGAGAAATAACCGATACTTCCAAGCAAACCGACACTTCTGATACTACCAAGTGAATGAGATCACATGCTACACTTCCTGCCTCTCCACCATGTAGTAATGCAGCGCCAAAGTGGCATTCACCAGGCCTAACCACAAACTGACATATAGGAGACGTCACAGCCAGGCTGATGACTTGACTTTTCTATAGTTGAGTTATGAAATACAGCCAGGTCACCTCCCCGCCGCAAGCTGTGATTGGACAGTGAAGGAGAAGCAGAAGACTAATGAGCTCATTGTTCTGCTCCCATAAACTGTACCCGTTATTTCACCCAGTATAGCAAAGCACCAGATTAAAGGGTATCTATGGTCAAAAACTAAAAGTAAATCTGTATTTTTATACTGAATTTCCATAAGTTCTATCCCACTCCTAATAACAAGATCCATCTAGAAGTTTGCAAACTTACTTATTGAAGATGCCCATAGGATGGACTTCCTCAATGCACTGACACCATTCCACTCAGCCCTGTCAATATGCACTTCCTTGGGTCACCCCTCTCACAGAGCCTTCTGAACTACAACTCAACATCTGGACAATGTAAGGTTATCACTGCTTGCTGGGAGCAATGCATGATGGGATATGGAGTCTTGAGAAATGGAGATTGCATCAGATCAAGCTGCAGGGAAAGAGCCGCAAAGCACACTGGGAATGCAGCAAGTTGATGGAAGTGATGGGCAGATGGAAGGCAGCACTCACTACATAAAAGGGATTTTTCAAGTAAGCTTCGATTGCATTATCAGAAACCACTCTACTATGTATTCCTATTACAATGCTGATGTCATAACCGGAGAGGATATGCTGGGACTTTACAACTCTTTTAAGTGTTAATACATTGTATAATGTAAAAGGTAAAGTGCCATCATCAGGGGTAAGGACAGCTAAAGATTAAGAATGTTGCCTTGACTTCCACTTTTAACTTGGTAGACACAGCCCAAGGGCCACATTGACCTTCCTTACCTGTGATCTAACACCAGG